GTCAGTGTTAACTGAAGAGAGGGACTACAGAAGATGGTGGGAAAGTCACAGACAACGTGAAAGACTATATAACTCTCAACTGCTTTGGCAAAGAGGAGCCTTGACTTTTGGATAGGATCTAGACAAAACCATTTTCTGTTTACTTCCATTTAGGAGAATAGATCCTTCCTAAAAAGACCAGCTGTTGCTTAGGTTCAAGTTGGAATGCAATGATATCATTTAACCCTGTGAGCTCTCAATAGTGCAATCTATGTCCAAATGGTAGGCAGGCACAGAGCTATGAGGAATATGCAGGGTCATCATCCTGGACGATGGCTTTATTTAAATTTTGTATTTTGCCCACCTTATCAGAAATCTAAGGAGCTTTATGGCAATGTACTCTTCCAACTCAAAAAAGAGGAAATGTATACCATCTGAGGCTAATGAATATCATCAGAGAATAAATAAGTCAGGAAGACTATATACGTAATGGGACTGGGAGTTCTTATAAACTATTTTGTTGGAAGTAACATCTTGGTGAATTTTCCATAGGTTGGGGAGCATTCTAGTGCTGCATCCTTGGGGACCTTTTGTGACTCTCTTATTGCATCAGCGTAATGATAACAGCCAGAGACACATGGCAGTCGCATTCTGAGGTTCCCAGAGTCAGGGTCTGTTGAATCACCTCTCACAGGGTACAGTTTGACTCCTAGAAATGGGTTTAGCGTTTTTATTCCCTCCAACTTTCCCCTGGCTTCCCTGTTGTTGTTGTTGGGTGTTTTGAAAATGAAAAACAATGTGGTTGGAGGAAAGGTCTACAGTGTGTTTGTGTCCATGAGAATAAACATGGAATCACTAGATATAATGCATGGTGACTCATGCTTTGTGTCATTTATCTTCACTTGTGAGGAGAGGTGGGATAAGTCACTCATGACTGTGCCAGTCCTGATCCATCCTTTATCACTATACTCATGAAGACAAATGCCACATTCAAAGGTTCTCAGCTATCATGTCCTTTCAGACCAGAGATTCTGATCAGAGAGAGCAGAAGGTTGACCTGGTGCTGTTACTTAAAAATCAAGAACACTTTGCACATACCATCTTTTACCCCACAAACCTTGACCTTCAATCTCAAATTAACACATGACTAGCAGCTATAGAGACGAGACCACTGGATAGCACTTATAATTTCATCTATGTCTATAGATGCTCACTTTATTTTAAATTTAAAATATCTAGTTCCTAATAAATGCCAAGCATAAAGATCTTCAGTGGCAATGTACTGATTAATAGGAGAGTGTTCCAGTCATCACAGTGATAAGTGGTATAATGAAGACAATTCTGTGGGAAAAGTAATAAGTGGTTAATTTTTTCTGTGAGCAAGTCAGATGTGATATGAAAGGAGAAAGTCCGAATAGAACTGTTGAACAATGATATTATTTGAGCTGATATATTAGAGAAAACAGTATGGACACCTTAGCTTTCTACAATAAATAGATGGTGGTACTATTGGATTTTTAAAACAATGGAAGAGCAAATGAGATGCTTTCTCTTTTCTGAGCTTCTGGACCTTGCTACAGGTAATTAAAAGATAAATTTTTTTTTTAATAATTTAGAAACTGAATGCATTTATTCTGGTTTTGCTTTCAATTATCTTTCTATGAATTGAAACACTTTAGAAATTAAACTATCCATTGAAATCAAAGTATTTCCTTTTCTCTTGGTTGCTATATAAAAGTTCACATAAGCAGAAGTAATCTGGAATGTTTCTGCAAGTTTGAGAAAGTTGATTGACAAACTAGGCATTTCTAAAGATATTTCTGTCTTTGAAAATTTAGTTTGAACCATAACAAACATATGTGTGTGTGTATTTATTTTTTACTTCAAAAATGTAATTTTATAAGTTTCTCTCTAATCAGCAATGTGGTTTGAATGATTTGTGTATTTCAAATTCAGGGTGTTTTTCAGTTTTGCCCCCTTCTCTGTAAACATATTTCATCAAATAAGCTATTTAATTTACTATTCAAGAAACATTTGTTGAACACATACTACATTGCAGTCTCTGGGAACATCAAACAGAATATATTGCATATCCTGATGGGACATATTGCCTAATGAGGAAGAAACACACATGAGCAGGCAAGAGCAGTAGATGAATGCTCAATAATTATTCTTTCTCTTCTTCCCATGGAAGAACCATGGGTTGTGTTAAGGAACACAAAGGTGTAAACTCCTACAAATTTAGAGAATCTTGGAAGGATTCATGGCATAAGTACCTCCTTCCCTCTTTTAACATGTTCATGTTGAAAGATGATGTAAAGGACAATAAAGGGTTGCAGAATGAAGAGCGACAGGGGTGGTTTTATCTTATGTACAATAGCTACATAAGGACTCTCCGAGAAGGTGTAATTTAGGAGAGTCTTAGATGAAGTGAAGAAGGAAAGTACACAGGTTATTTGGATGAAAGATAGCACTATTGTCATGAAGCCTATACATAGCTATAGGCCCATCTGGGTGAAGAATATTCCAGGCAGAAACATCCATCTAGTGTAAGGTGCCTGAGGAAGGTTGGTGTGTTGGAGAAACATCAAGGGGCAGTATGACCAAAATGGAGTAAAAGCAATATGTTCAGAGAATGATATCAGAGGAGTGGTTGGAGGAAGAACAAAAATATGCATGGTCTCATAGGCCACTAAAAGTTCTATGGATTACTTTTAGTGATATGAGTAGCCTTGGAACATTGAGCAGAAGAAAAATATAATCTGACTCGTTTTGAAAGGATCCCACCACAGTTTGGAGAAAAGATTGAAGAGAAGCAAGGATAGAAGCAAGGAGAAAGATGCTGGACCAGGCTATGATATAGTCCAATTATCCAAAGAAAAAATTCAGGAAGTAGTAATGGAGCTATATAGATATGACCAGAATTTTTATATTTGGAATTTCCATTGTGCATCTGTTAAGTATAAAGTTGATAAGGTGTAGAGATGATAGGATGTAAAGGTGAGACAAATGAGATTGGAAAAAAGTTACAAGGGTGATTTTGACCTGTGTTCTTAGGAGAATGGTCCCCCAAATAGTGTTTAGCACATGATAGGAGATTAAAATGTGTCTGTTGAAGTGCTCAGGAATGAATTGGCCAAACTATATTATTATATTGTGTGCACGTATGAATATATGACAACGAATCTCATCATTATGTACAGCTATAATGCACCAATAAAATATGTGAGAATCATTCTCTTGTACAAGTGAATAAATGGAATTGTAGAAAATGTCTTTGTCAGCAAGCATGTAATTGAGTTGGAATTGAGAGTTTTTGTTTGTTTGTTTTTTTGTGGAGAGGTTAATTTTCAATTCTTCCAAGTACAGGTCTTCCATAAACAGTTATGTACCTGTCTACAAGCCTGCTGGACTTTGAGTCTGTCAGTACTCAATTTATAGATGGTCATCATAGACCTCCCTAGAGAATAAGTATAGATGAAGAAGAGGTAGAACCAGCAATAGAGGTTGAGCAGAGCAGACACTCTATAAACGTATTTCATCAAATAAGCTATTTCATTTAGAGTAGTTCCCAGGAACCAAGTGGAAGGCGCTTTTCAGAAAGTTCAGAATGCTACTGTGTCAGATGCTCCTAAGTTTTGCCTAAAATGAGAATTGAGAATTAGTTGTTTGATTTAGCCATGAACATAATTCTTTCACTGTCACCTCTATGCATACTGTTACCTATGGCCTTCCCGGATAGTCTTTTGAATCCCAGGCTCATCAAATTGTAACTCATATTTCACATGTGGCACTGAAAGGTAGTTAAATTTTTTTGAGACTATGAGATATGAAGAACATTTTTATAGGTTTGAGTTAGATTTTAAGCTATTGACAGAAAATCAATAGATACTCTCTAAAATATATTTTAATTATAGTTTTACTTGATTAATAATATTCACCCATAATGCATTGAAGTTTGAAAAGCACTTCATCATATTTTATATCCCAGTAGAACCACCTACGTTGCTAAAATACCAAACTTTGACGCTTGTACCCTTAGACTGTCCCTGTTTCCAGTACCTTCTTCCTGCAACCAACTACAGATCCACACTTACTCTTCCTCATTCTTTAAAGATTTTTAACACCTACTTCTTGTTTTCTCCAGTCCTACTCCTGATGGAATTCTTGGTGATTTCAGTATCCACTTCCATCTTTGGTGATTTCAGTATCCACTTCCATCTCTTGATCCTGATTACAGATTGTGTGGGATCGTTCCATCTGCTGTTGCTCAGGATTTCCCCTATGTAACGTCTGCAACAACAGTATTTTTAAGCTCGGGGATATAAAATTCTGTAACCGTGGGAAGTAAAGAATATTTCTTCTTTTATTTCATTAAGCTTTGCAAAATCCAGATTCTGTCTTCTTGTGTCCCTTTGCTCAAAAGTTCTAGGTGGCCCTCAATCTTAGATTCTAATTTTTTATCCTGCTAGTGATCCCAGAGTGGGGGGAGGGGAGGAAAAAAGGAAAGATTATATATTAAATATCTCTCTTCCTTTTGTATGTGGGGAAAAAAAATCCCAAATGGAGTTTCCAGCAGATGCCTATGTCAAACTCAGAACAGCTCATCTGACTTTAATAATTGAGTATTCTGTTTAATTATTTCCTATTCCTGTTTATAAAACAGTGTTTGATTTGATCTTACGAGGTAGTTCTGATTAGGACACGGGATCAGAAATAAAACGTACTTTCATAAGGTCATGAATCTAATAAGTAAGAACCAAGTGTAGACTCCAGATCTTTTGACTTCAAATGCATTTTTTTTTATTGGCATTAAAAAAAATGCATTGTTCAAAATGGCCAGTGGTTAAAATAGCTGCCTTGGCTTCCTTCCCAGAACAGTGTTAAAATACAGTGGTGATTCAATAAATATTGTCACCAGTGGTGTCTGTGGTGGTGGTGGTGGTGGTGGTGGTGGTGGTGGCAGATCAAGAAGTGTGCTGAATTATTCTAATGGACACTTTTTTTTTTTTTTTTTTTAGATTGGCAAAGACATTGCCTATTTGCAGCACAGAGACCCCAATGGAGAGCTAGGTGGGTGATGATTAATGCTAAATCGTTCCCACAATATGCTGAACACTACAACAGCAGCTAATGTGAAGTGGCTCATTATACACTGTCAAATCCGATAACAACAACGACTGGCTTTGCAAGCATGAGCAATTTGTGGGAAGTCCAGCCACTGCAAACCACTACTGCACTTCAAAAGATAAGCTGTAATGTAGCAAGAAAAACATATCCACTGAGTCATATTTGCAAATTTCTTGTGTGTCTCTCTTTGCCAATTTAGAAATTGCTTTCATGTTCCCAGCTTGACTCCAGAAATGACTCTTCTTGGGATTTACTTCTCTTGTGCCTCTTCCTTCAGTCATTTCTATGGGCCAAAGATTCTATAAGGCTACTGGAGCACATGGACACAACTGGAAATGTCATTATTTTATGGGACTATTCCTGAAGCTCCCTTCTTTGCCTACCCTCTACCAACCAGCAGATGCCATACACATATACCCATTTACCTTGGGCTGTAGCACAGCATCCTTGGTGGTAATATTACCTACAGGAAAATAAGATCAGTAGGCGGCAGGCAAGAATGACTCTTTGCCTGATGATTTATGACTATGTGTCTTTTTGTATCCATTAAATGGTAATCTCTTTGAAGGTTCTGCGTTTCCATATTTACATTTACCTATTTAGTGCCTATGAGCCATAGTTGGCCCTCCCTATTAATGCGTTTCCTTCCTGAAAGTCCACCCTTAGGGGTGGAACTGGATTAATTTTCTTGCCTTTCCTGTCCCTAGCACAGTGCCTGACACATAGTAGGTGGAAAACGACATGTCTGTTCAGTGAACTAATGAAGATATGAATGACTATCAATCCGATGGTTCTCCAGGCTAAATTAAAGGCTAAGTGAATGATTTCCCGACCATCAGAGACAGAAAAGTGATGGCTTCAAATCGTTTTTCTTCAGGCCAAAAGGAATAATGCCCTAAAAAAGTGGCTGTTTATTTTGGAAGGCAAGAACTAATCTGAAGCTATTTTCTTTATTTTTATATTCAAATGCCTATAAAACAGAAAAGCACCGGAGACCTATTCATTGCTCACAAATGATCTATGGGGTAATAATGTGCTTGCTTTTCCAGCTGTGCTGCACTTTGGTGCTATCTTGGGTTTAATTGAAAATATGCTGTGACCTTGGTTTTGTTCACTGGGCATAGGGGGTTATAATTGGCATGAAACCTCTAAAGAACTCCCTTTTAAACGAATGTCATTTTGCTAATTTGGGGTTCGCCTGAGGGAAGTAATTTGTGAAGTCCTGTAAAAACAAGATGCATTTTAATCGCATGTCATTCGCAAGAAGTTAATGCTTTAAAAAAAAATCAGCCTTTTAGTTTTCAATACCTATTTGTTGAATCCTAAATGCTATCAGTATGATAATAGTATTGTCCCTAACAGTCTCATGTTTCATCATAATTAAATAAACAGCTTGTGAATTGCAGTCCAAAAAATGTCTGTGTTCCCCTCTTAACTTAAGGGGTTTCCATAGAAACCGTAGGCAGCAAGTTTAACTGACATTTATCGGACTTGAGTCTATATGCAGCATTGATATCTCTCTGTTTTTCTCTCTGTCACTTTGTATATGTGTCTTCTTTTCTTCCTTTAACCTTCCCAAACCTCATCCCCCTCAGCAAATCCTCTGCCTCCTCCTCTATTTCCTCCTCCTCCTTTTTCTCTTATTAGCATTGAGGAAGTAATTTGGACTCAGTTAGATTTAACAAATGCAATAATACTAAAATGGGGCCTGATACTTAAGTGTAATTGTGTTATTAGCTGGAAATGTTTTTCCTCAAAAATAAAAGAATTGGGAGTGAAGTATACCAAGGTAGCACATGTTGGTAAGAAGGAACCTTTCACTGCCAGTTAAAAGTTTGCCATCTACATATTAGGGCCACCTTCGTCCCCAGGTATGGCTTTTCCTTGATTTATTCAGCACAGAATGATATTCCTCCTCAGCCCTAGTGTTCAGACTTGAGCATAACATCCCCATTCTGGTCATGTTCCAGGAGTATGAAGAAACCGATTTAGGAAAGACAAAATATACTATGTAGATAGTACCTACTGTGTACCAGGTTTTTTTGCTGGGTAAATTCACTTAGATTGCCTTAATCCTTCACACTTCACAGCCAGGTATTATATACAGGAAAATCAATCTGAAGCTGCTGGTCTACCCCAGGCTGGCTCTGAATCTTGGAGAAGATCTTAAATGTTCTTCCTTGGTTTCTCCAAGGCAAAGTGAATGTGAGTACTTCTAAGCAATAGGTTTTGTTAAGATTGAAGATGGTACTGCAGCTAGTACATCATAGTAGTAGTATTTCTCTTGGTGCCTTTAGAAATGAGTTGCTGAAAGAATAAGTCATTGATCCGAAGCATACAGAGCTAGTAGAAAGCAATCTATATAGCACCATGGTTAAAGCTGGGGAAAGGAGGCAGCAGGGAGGGTTAGACAGACCCAGGCTCATTTACTATCTGAGTGATTTGAGATAAGTGACAAACTCAGCATCTGGTTTCTCATCTGTATACCAGAATAATGGCTTTTACTCCAAGAGTTTATGAGGAATAAATAAACTTGTATATGCAAGTCACTCAGAGTCTCTACCACATAGAAAGCACACTGTTTTTTTTTTCCCCCCTCTGTGTCTCCCGCTCCCCCACATTTCTGATTTTCTATTACTATGGATTCAATGTAAAATAAAATCAGTCTTCCAACTCTATCTAATACCTATAGTTGAAAATTATCTGAAAATTCATAAACCCTCTCAAGTTTTCCTGAGAGCAAAATATCAAAAAGAATCCAGGAGTAAGTCAGAGATGTTGGTGGATATCTAGTGAATCAGAAAAGAAAGGATGGAGTTTAGCTAGGACAAGACTCTGAGAGGCCATAATTGCTGGTGAGAGTGATTTTTCCACATATATGCACACTCTTCACTGGTGCATGTGTGCACACGCGCACACACAATATGGCTCCACTTTTTTCTGTCCAGGGGTCTATTCTTTCCTTATTAGGGCATTTATTCTCTATTTTTTTTGAAAAAATATTTTAATCCACTTTATCTGCTTTGTGTTAGTTTAGTTAAAGCTAAATAATATAATGCATAGAGTCACCCTAGCCAACCATACACACATAGCAGTATGTCATAACATGTAGTAAGCATGTGAGTAAGCATGAACACCTCAGGAAGCCATTCTTTTGCCCAGGATTCCTCACATATGTTATGTGACACATGGCGTCACTTCCACACAAGCAAAGCTTACTTCCTTTATTATTTCTTAGATGATGGTTAATTATAAGTAGATATCCCAATATTTTTCTTCCATTCCCTAACAGATCATCTTTCTTGGCAACCTTGAGGTTGAAAGGAGTAGATCAGAAAAAGATGTTCTTGTGCTGAAGGAAAAGTTCAAATTTGTTTCATCGAGTGACTGTTAGTAAACATTTCAGGCTATGTAAGTCCTATTATCCATGAGAATTACTCTGAACTTCAGTGTGAAAGCACCCCATAGACAATACATACACAAGCTCTCATAGGATCATCTAATAAAACTTTGTTTACAAAAAGAAATGTTGAGCTAGATTTTGCCTGTAGACCAGAGTTTCCCAAACACTGATCCCAGAGTTTTGTTTACATCCCCATCCCACGTCTAGTTTCTGTTGGCATGGTACTTACAGTTTGAAAAGCAGGAATGGAAAGTGTAGGAGTGACAGCCTTACCATAATTTACCCTTGTTTTGTAGAGTTTACTTTTTTCCCAAGTGTTTTCAACATTAACCTTTATCTCTCTCCTATGCCTTTGGCATACAAAGGACACATATTCTGTCTTCACTTGACAGAATGGTGTAGTACATTTAAGTGACTTACATTATTGTCACCCTGCAACTGTAATTAATATCCCTATTGGAATCAGGCTGTCAGTCTTGTGCTTTTTCAGTTGAATTGTTCTTTATAAAATGTATCCTTTAGAGAAAAAAGACAGATGGTGGGAGAATAAACCAAAAAGGAATCTTCATCATTCAAACCAAGGAAAAAGTAGGTTAAGTACTAATGGCCTAAATAGGGGCATATTCAGGTTTCCCTGATTCTCATCACTTTAACATACCTTGGGGGACCAAGTTCCCTATTGCTTTTCATATATATGTTTCATTTTCCCCCCATGGAATATTTTTGCAAATTGTACCTTGTAGGCAAAATGAATACAGGAAAATACAGGGAGTTTTTACTTTGCATAGTACTATGTTAACTGGTTTGTTAATATTGGAACAGCAGTCATCATTTTGCAAGGTTCCATGGTAACTAGAGCAAATACAGAGACTGCAGAAAGATGACTTTTTCCAATATACATGACTTATGGTTAACATGGAACCAAGCAAAATGAGGACTGCCTTATGTAAATAAATAAGAATCCAATTTCCAAATGTCTGCATTTGCTGAATAATTCCGTCTTTTGTAGTCATTAGGGGGAAACAAAGAAATCTCTGATTCCAGTCATTTCCATTATCTGACATGTCATCACCAAGGCTTCCTCATTATGCAATGTGAATAGTGTTGAGGTTACTTGAAACCAGTTTCCAGTTTCAATTAGGAGGCCATCCCTGCTATCTGCATTCTGATTAAATGACGTTGACTGGAAATCACAGAAAGAGTCTACTCTGTTTCCTCCCCTTGCTCAGATCTCATAAACACAGACTCAATTAAAGAGAGTTTCCTTATCAGGTTTTTGTGGGTCATTTTGGTGAATTTATTAAACTCTTAAGTCATGCTGAAAACTGGAAGGCGGTGGGTCTGAGATAGTCAGCAGGAGCCAGGGTTAGATATGCAGTACTTGCTCCTGTGCTTTAGGAACTGTAAAATAAACAGAAGTCAGGGCAGCCAATGAGTTTCACAGAGTGAAAATTCTGTAGTAGAGCTATAAAAAACATGATGCATATCTGCCTATGTTTTAGGCTAAATCAGAGCCTTATCTATACATTCATTATTTTAG